CAACTAATGCCGAGCAGGTGAGTAAAACCGGCATCTGATTAACATGTAATCTTGTAATGGGATTAGCCGGAGCCGAGGTCGTTCTCCACATTTCCTCGCGGTGATGAAGGGCAGGAGGGAGAACAGGGGGCGGGTCTGGGAAAGCAACAATTGACATGTGAGGGGCTCCTGGGGGCCACCGGATTACATTCCATAACCTCAGCCGGGGACATCAGTCCTACTTCCTGTATTGGGTTCTCCTCCATCGGTGTCCAGAGTCTACGAGATATAAAGAGAACCTGTAGCCCAACTCCAGAGCAATCTCTTTATTTCGGCTTCCATGGAAAGAGACAAAGTGTGATTATCAGCTTGTACATCGCTCCTTCAATGTTGGAGACATAACGAGTCTCTATGACCTCTGATGGGTGTACGATCTCTCCGGGTCCTCCAGCTGGGTGCAGTGATCCGGGGTGAGTCCTCCTAGGTGATAATTATCCTGATTGGCTGTCAGCGGCCTCTGTATTTATCTGTGCGCGAGCCTTTTATATCGCCGGCACCGAGCCAAAACCTCGTCTCCCCAATGTTCAGTGCTGAGCTCGGGCTGTGCAAGCACACTGCCGAGGTGCAACCAACATGTGAGCGGACTTATCACTGCCGAGGTGCAACCAACATGTGAGCGGACTTATCACTGCCGAGGTGCAACCAACATGTGAGCGGACTTATCACTGCCGAGGTGCCTACAGCAGCCAATCAGATCTGAGCGCTCGATCTCTGCGGGGAGGAATCTGGTTGGGCAGCAGTTTGGGTGTTCGGTGGAGGGGAGCTGATCAGAATTTTGGAGGAAATCGCGTCCGGGAGGCCGAATTCTCCTCTTGTGTTCCAGGCTGAGCGGCGACTTCTATGGAATGTTACACTCCGGAGCGATCAAGTCCTTGAAGTCGGGGAAGAGGCCCTGTCATGTCACACAACATTTTCCTGATCACATTAGAATATTGTGCCTGACACGGCTCGGGACGCACGGCTCGGGACGCACGGCTCGGGACGCACGGCTCGGGACACACGGCTCGGGACTCTCTCTGCCATG